AGCTAGAGAAATATATATTAACTGCAGTTGATAACTATTTACATATAATGTATTTGCAGATCATCTCTTTTAGCTGTAAGTGCAAGTCAGTCACAATGCACAAAGCGACTGAAACACAAAGGAAAAGGCAGAGGAGATGACATATCTCATCTCTTTATACCTGTTCCAATCAAGGTAATAGTGAACTAGGGAAAGATGAAGACATTTATCTTAAATATGAATAGTTTGTATAATTTTTGGTTAGGTATAATGGATGTAAATGGATATATTAGATGACAAGTTTTACATTTTTTTACTTTCACTCCTTTTAGTTCCTTTCCATATGTGTAGGGAGAGAAATGTGTTGTGTGTAAGGTTAGAGATTATTACAAGCTTACTATATATATACTATTTTTACTCAGGCTCGGGAAGATGAGATAAATGTTGGTGAAGAGATGGCAGGTCCATTGAGGAAAGATGACATTCTTCGTGTCCTCAACCGATTCTACAGCAATGAAGATATCAAAGACCTCGCAAGAGAAAATGGACTTGACAGTATGTTAATTTATTTTGCAATGTTCTGTTGCCACAGTGAAAAAAATCAAGTACTGTATTGATATAATAGTATACCTATATATTTATCTTAGATCGTAAATGAGGCTAAAACAAATGACTGTTAATAAGATGACAGTTATCAGTCAAAGCATAGATAAATCATGGTATCGATTATGAATTTGTTTGCACATTCCAGATTATTTATACCAGCAGACTTTCATCAGTTTTAGGAAATTTTGTATTGAATCTGGTTCCCTTCCTGTTGACCTTCACATCATTATCAGTGATGTGTTGCAGGTAAGATGAAGATTAGCTTCTGTTGTTTCTGCTGCTGATATTAAGACTACTTATTTGCTACAAGATATCTTTTGCTAAAAAATATTTTGCACTTTAAACACATTTTCCTTTTTCACTTTATCCCACAGGGTGCTGGTCATATTCATGACATCTACCCAAGTTTTATGAAACATGCACAAAAGATATTTCCTCACCTGAACTGCATTGATGACTTGTGCAAAATATCAGATTTGTCATGTCCTCCAAATTGGTGAGCATTGATAATTTTTGGAGAATCAATGTTGGTCAGAAATACATTATCTTTGGTGCATACTGGATATGTGTTGGCATGTTTTGTACCAGTATTTTAAAATTTATTTTGTTAATTTATTTCTTGTAGGTATCCTGAGGCCCGTGCTTTAAACCGTAAAATAGTATTTCATGCGGGGCCCACCAACAGTGGCAAGACCTACCATGCTATGCAACAGTTTCTCAGTGCAGAGTCTGGGGTATATTGTGGACCACTGAAGCTCTTGGCTACTGAGGTTTTCCATGCAAGTAACAAAAAGGTGGGTACAAGTATGGCAGGGTTATGACTAGTATTTTATATTCATGGGTTTTGGTTTTGATGATGAATATTGTTTTAAATTTTGTGTAATTTTATAAGGTACTATATGTGTCTAATATGTCAAGGAGCTTTATACAATACAATAATTGATATATGAAATATGTAATAATTAAAGCACCATGTTATATGTTATGTTATTTAGTATATATTTAATCCTTTATGATTTGATATACTAAACAAATGTGATGTGTTATTGCTATTAAATTACGACCATAGATATTTTATGTAAAGTTGTTACTCTACAGGGAACTCCTTGCGATTTAGTTACTGGAGAGGAGAGAAGATTTGGAAATGCTGAAGGGTCATCAGCAAGCCATGTTGCTTGTACTGTGGAAATGACATCTGTCTCAACCACATGTAAGTTGTTGTTGTAGTTGCAATTGTTGTTGATGTTATCAACTTACTTTCTGTAGGAATAAGTTCACTAAATTTTTGTTAACCTCTTGGTACCAGTTACATGACCTGTCACTATTCATAGTTTTACTAATTTTAGTCATCAAGGAGTTAGTTAGCCTATCTATTCTCACCTTCTTACCCCATTCATTGAATATTTCTGGGAAAAGTTTATTTTCCAATTACAATTATTTTCCCTATTTATATTCCATTATCATTATCATGATTATCATAACAATAATATTGCTAGCAATAATAATAGTAATAAAAGTAAAAGTTTAATAAAAACAGATTAAGGAATGGGTAGATGGAACCTGAGGTAGGCCGAGTAATTAACTAGTTGGTGATTAAGTGTTTCTACAGATAAAACAAACTGTTTTGGACAATGCATGTATATATATGCACTCCCTACATCAACAGTTTAGAATTTGTAATGAAGTCTATAACCAAATATAAACTTTCAGATGATGTTGCTGTGATTGATGAAATCCAGATGATAAAAGATCCCCAAAGAGGGTGGGCTTGGACACGTGCTTTCCTTGGCCTGTGCGCAAGAGAACTACATGTGTGTGGTGAGGCAGCAGCTATTCCCCTTATTCAAGAACTAGCTCTTCTTACAGGGGAGGAAGTTGAGGTGAGAGGAAAATACCTTTTTTGTAAGGTACCAGCTTTTGCATTAGGTGCTGGTAAATTTTTGTTTATTATTGTCTTAAAACACCAATCCAGAATGAGTTGATTAAAAAAACATATCTGTGAGGACTTTGTTTAGTATAATTGTTAGATCAGGGAATGTAATACTGTGAGGATGTATTTAGCTGAAACATATTTTTTTGCTATAGCTAATTATGATTACATTAAATATTCAATATTTTCATCATTATTGATAATAACAATATTGTAATTTTTTTTTACAGGTTAGAAGATATAAAAGGTTGACAGAGTTATCAATAGAGAACTCAGCACTACAAACGCTTGACAATGTACATCCAGGAGACTGTATAGTGTGTTTTAGCAAGAGAGACATTCACCATGTCTCTCGAGAGATTGAACGTAGAGGCCATGAAGTTGCAGTCATTTATGGAGGTTTGTGCAGCCTTTTATTGTTTTTGTGTCAAAAGAGTGAGAACCTTTTTATTAAATTTTGCTTGATTATTTGGATTTTTATATAGTTTTTATGTATAACAATAATTTTTTGCCACTAAATGGATATCTGAATGTATCTATCTTTCTCATACTTGAAGTATATGATTTACATAAGGGAAATGTCATAGATGTATCCTCATTCTTCTACTAAAGGTCTTTTTCTGTCTGCTTGTCTTCTTTTTCCTTTGGCTATTAGCTCAGCCACTGTCGTAACGTTAAATTTTCTTTTCCACTTCATTTTTTTTACACTGATTTTTATGCTTACAATAAGAATATGAGTTAAAGGTTCCATCATTTGCTTTATGTAAATAGTATAATGAAGGTTTGCAAATTCATTTAACCCAATGCTGACAGGCATGGCATGTATGTACATGCCATACTCTCTGTGAGTTTACTTTATTAATTGTTTTTACAAATAGATGGCTATACTTGTACTTGTAAGTTACCAATGTGCAAATTATGAGTACTGCCTGTCTTGCCTGTTTACCCTTTTCCTTGATTTATGAAAATATTTTTTGTTATCATTATAGTACTTATACTATATTGTCTAAAATAAAAATAACACCATCGATATTCATATCATTAGTAAAAAAAACATTTTTCCTGCTAATTCAAGGAAAGGGGAAATTCGGTAAGGTCACAAGGTCTTGTAATTGACTCCTTTGTGGCAAAGCACTAGCAGAGCCATCTAAGTCCAGAGACATTTCACAAAAGAATTTGAATGAGCACAGCATTTGCTCCACTTTTTATGCACTCTCCCTTGCAACATGTGGTTAAATGTATGGAAGCATAACACAGAGATACATATAATCATTTCTGACATTTGGTATATTAAATATATTTCAGGCCTTCCACCAGGAACAAAATTGGCTCAGGCATATAAGTTTAATGACCCAAAGCACCCATGCAAAATCCTTGTTGCCACAGATGCCATTGGAATGGGAATTAATCTGTAAGTATATAAAGACATAGATATGTTTTTTGTGTAGATAATTTTTTCTTGTATTTATATTTAAGGTAATGTTAAGTTTTTATATGTGATGATTTGATAGTAAGGCATACTTTTTAGTCTTTTAAGTTTGATTAGCATTCTTTGGAAAGATAAGATATGAATAACTAAATCTTTGTACACAGTTGTTTTCAGTGTGTGATAGATATTTTATCAAATAGACAAAATTGAGTTTTGTCTTTATTATATATATCCAAATACAGCTTGTTCTTATGAGTTTGTTGATATAAAGGAAGAGATTATAAGCATATCCATAAATATCCCAGAAGTGTATATGTTTATAACTAAAGGAATATATAAGTGTATGGATGGAACCTAAATCAAGCTGTCTTATTTTGACAGGAGTATTCGGCGAGTTATTTTCCATTCTCTTATCAAGCCTAACATAAATGAAAAAGGAGAAAAAGAGATGGAAACACTTAGTGTCTCATCAGCCCTGCAGATTGCTGGACGGGCTGGCAGATATGGGACTCAGTGGGAACATGTATGTACTTAAATTACATGAATGGAATTGTAAGATGTGTCAAATCAGCAAAGATATATATTTATATATATATATATATATATATATATATATATATATATATATATATATATATATATATATATATAATGTATATATATATTTATATATTTAGGGGGGGGGGGTTATTGAAGTTATTGAAATGTATTGAAGGACAGCCAATAGGAAAAATGAGCTTTTGAAAGTTATTCTGGCATTAGCTGAAAGATACCACTATACATGTAATGTTGTTTGTAAGCTAGAAGCTCAAGCTTTACATGTCTCTCCAGTATTACCTAAGATGTAAAGATTTTGTCAATAGAAGCCATAATATTACATATTCATATTATGTAATTTTGGCTGATTGAATAGACAGATGAATTTATATTTACTTCATTATATTTTCAATTATTTTTTTTCCCTTTTACTGTTTCTTTGTTTTCATTTGTATAACCCTCTCACACAGGGTTATGTCACAACTATGAAGTCCGAAGACCTCTCTACTTTGAGGCGACTGTTATCCTGCATACCTGACGAAATAGAACAGGCTGGACTTCACCCAACTGCTGATCAGATTGAGCTGTTTGCATTTCATTTACCTAGCTATACCTTGTCAAACCTTATTGTAAGTTGATTATTGTTTGTTGTATCATAATAACGAGGAGTATTGTTTATTTATTATATCTGTTGATTTCCCTCCACAAAAGGTGACTCTGTTATTTATTTTCTGTCTTTCTCTCAAACAGGATATCTTTGTGAGCCTTTGCACAGTGGACTCATCACTCTATTTCATGTGCATCATGGATGATTTTAAGTTCCTGGCTGACCTCATACAGCACATTCCACTTCAGCTCAGATCCAGATATGTCTTCTGTTGTGCTCCTATCAACCGCAAGATGCCTTTTGTCTGTGCTATGTTCCTAAAGGTATTGCAAAGTGTTGATAATAAATGTCCCTGATGGTGATGTATTATGAGTTACTAAATGGAACCCTTTGAATTTTTTGTGTGTAGTTGTCAGTTAATCCACATTTTTTATCAATTTACTGTAACCATATTGATTGTCTTCATGATATACTTTGATATATATTGAGTAGGTTTACAGTTTCTTAAGTTTTTAAAAATATTTACCTTGCAAATCTTTTCAGTTTGCTCGCCAGTTCTCACAGAGTGAACCTGCAACTTTGGACTGGTTGTGTCATCAGGTCAAATGGCCTTTCTCAACTCCTAACACTATATTAGATCTTGTACATCTAGAAGAAGTGTTTGATGTATTTGATCTCTATTTATGGCTTAGGTAAGAATATCTTCTAGTTATTCTGTAAATAGCTCTGCATAATTTGATATGTAAAGCAAGATAAGAAGTTGGAATTAAAAATATTTTCATTTAATTTTCCCATGTCCCCAGTTACCGTTTTCAAGACATGTTTCCTGATGGGGAAATGGTACGAGATCTTCAGACTGAGTTAGACGGGATGATTGAAGCTGGAGTTGCCCAGATTACAAGATTACTCAAGAATTCAGATACACGAACTTCCAACAATGCCGTTGATACTGAAGAGAACTTTATTATGGACCAAAGGAAGAGGCATACATATAGAGGTATTAATATTTATGTTATGCATACTACCAAGTTGTTGTCATCATTATTAGGAAATTCTGTTGCATCATTACAGAATTTACATTCATTCTGTCATTATAAAAGTTCTTTGGCATAATAATGAGTGTAATATGAGATTGTGAGTATTTTTTTGTGATTTTTAAGTAAACTTGAATTTGGTATGGTATCATTTGTAATACAAGAACTTATTGATGAGAGTTTATATGCAGTTAATGACTTTTCTATGCATGCATATGATAGATAAGGTATTTTGTACTGAGGAAATATAAATTTGTCTTGAATCAGAAATTTATAATTCAAAGCAGTTATTTCTGCAGATATCTCATTAAATTGTAGAGCGAACACAAAATCTTTATTTAATTTCAGATCAAAATTTGGATATACCAAGAGGCTCACAAGTACTCAAGTCTGGAAGACAAGAGAGAGGTCCAGTTGGTCGTGGGCGACTCACAGAAAGGCTCCTAGCCCAGGGTCTTCTCTCTCCAAAGATGTTGGCAGAATTGCAGCGGGAATGGCAACAAAATGTAAGTAATATTAACTCCTTAAAGCTGAATGGTAGTGATCAGGACTAATTGACATGTAGCATGTAAACTGAGTGGCATCAATAGAAAAGGAACTGTAGAAAACATTGAAAAATTGTTCATGGTGTTTCGATAGGCAGACTTGTTTTTGTTTCCATCTAGAGCAACTTTTTCTGGTCATTATCCACTTATCATACATAACCCATGACTTCAGTGACTGCCTACAGTCCTGCACTTATTAGATCTATATAAAAACCATTCTAGCAAATCCTGTAATTTTATTAATTCCATTTGTCATTAATGTCATACTGATTATGAACTTTGGCTTTTCACTATTTGTTATGTATTTGAAATGATCAACTGGAGACATTTTCTGGTGCCCAAAATCATTCCTTCTTGTCCTTTCCCACTGCACTCCAGCACCATTAATTTAGTTTTCAACCTTGTTAATTCAGGGATGGGTAAATATTTGTACATGCCATATCCATTGTCACTGGGTTAAATAACTTTGTAGTTATGCATAGAAATTTCTGCATATGTGTGTGTGTGTGTGTGTGTGTGTGTGTGTGTGTGTGTGTGTGTGTGTGTGTGTGTGTGTGTGTGTGTGTGTGTGTGTGTGTGTGTGTGTGTGTGTGTGTGTTTTATATGATAAACTTAAATTTTGTCAATAGATAAATTATTCCAGAAATACAATGCAATTAAATAGAAAGATCCATTGATGAAAAAAATTCAAGTAGGTGATTAATCCAGTTCTGTGATTCCATATTTATATATTATTACAGTTGAAACTCTTCAAACATATTTCAAAGTTTCTGATGCGAATTCTGTTATGTTTTGAGAATTTTAAAGCTTGTTTACCCAGTGACTTTTATCTGTGGCTGTAAATGCTATCACTTTCATACTTTTGAGATTGTGTTTCTGTGTGACATTTTGATTTTCCAGCCTTCATATCTATGAAAATACCTGTTAGAACATACATGTTACTGATATACCTGGCTTTAGCTTCACAGTACATGTCTTTTTTTCAGAATTATGATGATGAAGATCCTCCAACCAAGCCAAAAACACCGAGGAAAAGGAGACGATAAGGTCACTTGAGCAATATATTTGTTTGTAGTATGAGCCAGCTTTTTGACTTGTTACTGAAGTAAGCATTGTGTAAAACTGCTTGGGTGAGTTGAAAACAGAACTGCTAAAATTTTCAGAGGTAGTCAACATGTATATTTAGAGATTTGAATTTAACAGTTATTATAAATATTGTTATTACTCTCAGTGTTTGTAAATTATTATTATATACGAAAAAAGACAGCTATTCTTTGTAAGTGTGAGTTATTATTAAATAAACTCATATTTTGTATATAATTTTATTTTATATATAGAACCCTACAAAATCATGGAATGTTGATCATTATATGGATAAAAAATAAAATGTTTCTGCATGACAATACAGCCTTTGCCACCTCACAGATAATATAAAATGTATATTCAGATAAACTACGAAGATAGCATAAATTCTTAGTTCATTTACTGAACAGTTAAAAAGATTATAAAAGAAAAGGTTAATACTTCTAACCTTGGGAAAGAAAAAAAAAAAAGCTTCACACACACACAACCCACTCCCAATCACTGTACACGATTATGAAACACTTATGGATAATATCCAGTAAAATCTGGATCATTAACTTCAAGCCTTGAAGAATAATGGAGACACCAAGAAAACGATGCCATTATAGGTCTCTCTACACTGGTTACCAGGCCAGCAATAACAAAAGCCTAAATCTTCACTTAGAGAGATCAAGTGTGCCACAGTCTCTTGCCAATAAAATGCTGTTTTACAATGTACTGATGACAATAAAACTTGAACTGATAACTACTCAGAAACTGAAGTACCATTTCTTAATCAGAGGGAAATATGTTAATGGGCATTTACACATCTCAAAAATTAGGGCATGAAAGTTGCTTTGGAATATACTATGAAATAACATAAAATAATAAAACCACTAAGTACAACAAATAGTAATGCCAATAATATTTGGATATATATACACACTCACTGTATGTATACATACTACTAAATATACATATATAATAAAAAATCATATAATAACAATAATACCAATAACAATATTAACAATACAGCAATAATCACAATAACAAAAATAAAAATAATAAAAATAACAATATTAATAAAATATATATATAGTGGTATTTCATTTACCTCAACTAGAAGTGCTGTAAAGCAAATATTAATTAATAACACCAAGGAACTTTTAACCAAAAATATGAGGAAAATAAAAATGGTAATAATTTTACCATAAAAAAACTACTCAAAAATAAAGATAACTATACCTTCCATCCCTATTATGACAGAAACTCCCAGTAAGATTCCTAACACAACTGAGGCACTTGGGTTCCTATACTCCCATTAATATAACAGAGAATAGGATACTGATTCAACTTATCTCTATTAGATAGGGCATGCTTACTGCTAAGACAATGTCATGGTCAAATGTTCACTATGACACGGAAATGCACACCACAAAATGTGTCATTGCAAAATGCAATAAGTTTATGCTCTCTTTATATGTGATGTCTTGTGTTACATAGAATACTCCTAACAAGTTTCACACAAAAGTCATAAACATGCAAAGTACCTCATGAGTATTCTTCACATACGAGTACATTAAAAAGTAAACCAGGTAACACAATAGGACACAATATTGCAGAGAAGGCAGCAACTAAGGGAATATACTGAATTCTTGTTCCTTGTAAAGAGAATTGTCATCTCACTTTCATCACACTTATTTCATTAATCTGAATAACCAACCAAAATAAGCATTCAATTTGTGACTAGGTCATACACTTGTATGATGGAAAATTCACCAATTAATAAAGCACTTTACATGTATTCAATCCTTAGCCATAAGAGTACTCAACATTTAAGCCCACAGCCAACGTCACAGGGAATGATTGCCTTTGCTGTCCCCTGAGAATATTCACAGGGACAGGGGACACCATTGATCTGTACATTATGATTTTTTGGAAATTATATGAATGTAGAAAGCTGGGTCTTCAATTTCTCCAACTGGCTTGAAATCTCCATAGACTTGGTGTTTTGCTCCTGCGCCGAAACCTTCCATGAGAATCTCCCCAAACCGTGCAACACGATGAGGGTAGTATGACAAGCGGAAGTTACTGTTGGAAAAAAATCGGAAAAAATGTAAAAGTACAGACATGTTTGACATTATCTGCAATAATATTTGCTTAAACATTATAGTTCATTTGAAAGTCAAAGTTGTTTAGAGAGATTACATATGAAATTTACCTCCTTGTTTGTCCTTCTAATCTGCCTTTCTTGGCAATCTCCGAATCTGTTTCACACCTCTTAGCTTCACCAACATCCATCACGTAGTCAAGTGTGACAAGTGAGGCCTTCCCATTCACATACAGAACTGATGTCTTGATATCCTGCACATGCTCACTCTGAAACATTACAACATTATAGAATTAACAGTATTCATTAAACTTTTACACCCAATCACACCACGAGCCACCGGAATATAATATTGTCCTATCACCTGGTAGACCACCCCCTGTCTCCTATGCTTCTAATTTTTCCCTCATACAGCATACTCAGCATACACCCTGACGTGCAGTATGGCACTGGGGAATCTCTTCATCACAGGTTAAATAAGTGTAAACTTTGATCTGATAGTCTTTATACAAAACCACTGACTCTCATTTTGAGTTTTTTTTTTAATAATGAAATTTCAACTATCTAGGAGAATTTAACTAGCTATCTTAATGTTACTTAAAAATCTTTAAAAGAGGAAACTAAAAACTCATTCTCACATTATAATATATATTGTGTGTTGGTGCTGAGCCAGTGTCAATAATATGGTCGTAGTTGCGATGATCAATGACAAGTATTCCCCCTGGTTTCACCATCTGTGCAAAGTTGCTTATGGCTTGCCTGTAAAAAAGGAATAAAAAATATAAAAAAAATATAAATCTTAGTTTACACAATGCATCCAAACCTTAACACAAATAATTTTCCTGTAATACCAAATAGAATAGTGACTGTATACACTCCCATGCAAGAACTTACTTATGCTCAGACTGATCTCCTGCCATATCTGGAAGATGAGCAAAGGAATTTCCTAGGCAGACTACAGCATCAAATGTACCAATGCCTTCAATGTCATCTATAAGGGTTAACCAATTTGCCTCTTCAATAACTGAAAAAATGAAGACAAAGGAATTAAAGTATATTCCCATAAATATTAAAAAAACTGGCAGAGAATACATATCTTTTTCCCAATGCCAGTAGTACAATGAAAAAACAACAACAAGCTTTGAAGAAAACTATATATAATGTTAAATCAAGCAAGATAATAGCTCTCCACTATGGATCTTTACAAGAGACCAATTTGAAACATCCACACCTTACCCCAGTCATCAAAGGCTGGCTCCTTGCGTCTCTTCCAGCGGGTTTTCAAAGCATACTTCAGCATCTTGTCTGACAAGTCCACACTGGTCACTTTGAAACCATTTTCCAGCAACATGATACTGTCCACTCTGTCAAATAAACTTTGTAAGAAATTCTAATTCTGATACTAATTCTTTACTAATAACTCATTTAGCAGCTTATACTAAGATATTCAATTATAACATTTGAAAAGCAAGTTGCATGAGTGAAAATCTTCAACTTAGGCACAAGTGTTAAATTACTAAAAGTTTTCTCTCATTATTTCAATCAAGAATGCTAGATGGATAATTTGAAATCTTATACTTGCTCATGACAAGATCATGGGAAAATTTCAATGTTAGCTGTCATATGAGGAAAATATTTTAAAAAATGTCTAGGTTTTCAATGACTGAGAATATCTTATAAATGTCTGGGGCTTAACATGATTTTCCATTAATGAATTTTCAACCTTACTGCCTCCATAATAATACAGCAGTATGGATGAATAATACTCATGGATTAAGTCACCCTTTGTAATACCTAGCTAATGCAGTGGGTTCAAAAGACAGAGGCTGTAGATAAGAAGTATTGATAATAGGTTTAATCCCTGCTCGAGACCTCATGAGAAGAAATCACTAAATCAAACTGAAGTTACTATTTTTCCTTACAGAATAATCAAGGAATATCTATGCCTAGCATAAATTGATATTTAATACACTGACACAAAAGAAAATGAATAGCTAACACACCTAAATGCTACATCTAGATGAACTATAGAAAACTTAAGTTCTGTGCAATATACTGACATAAAGAGTGCATAATGTATTATTGAATCCATAAATAATTGGCAACTCAAAGGCATTCTCTTTTTATGTAGTCTTATGGAAAAGTTAAATATGTGACAGAAAAACAATGTACCAAAGAGATATTAAGCAACAGAGAGGTAGAAGAAGAAGAAGAAAAAAAAAAGAAAAGAGGAGGAGAAGAAGGAGGATGAGGATGAGGAGGAGGAGGAGGAGGAGAAGGGGAAGGAGGAGAAAAATAAAAATAAAAGAAGAAGAAAAAGAAAAGAAAGAAAAGAAAAGAAAAGAAAGAAAAGAAAGAAAAGAAAAATAAAGAAAAGAAAAGAAAAGAAAAGAAAAGAAAAGAAAGAAAAGAAAAGAAAAGAAAAGAAAAGAAAAGAAAAGAAAAGAAAAGAAAAGAAAAGAAAAGAAAAGGAAAGGAAAGGAAAGGAAAGGAAAGGAAAGGAAAGGAAAGGAAAGGAAAGGAAAGAAAAGAAAAGAAAAGAAAAGAAAAGAAAAGAAAAGAAAAGAAAAGAAAAAGAATTAGTATAAGCATAAGAATAAGCATAAGCATAAGAATAAGAATAAAAAATAAAAATAAGAATAAGTAAAATAAGAATAAGAA